TGAGATACATCAGCCAATCATAGCCGTGATGCAGTCACATGACAGTTGCAAATCACAATGCATGAGCACTCTAAGCCTACGATCCAAGTTCTAAATGCAGCTAGCCAAACCATGTGCTCAGTGCCTAGTGCTATCACTCAGAAATTGATTCGAATGCCCAGATTGAAGTCATGTTTTTGAAATGTCAGTTTTTTTTTTTATTTGCCGGGTATTGGAAAATTCTGGAAATCAAAGATTCCCGCTATTGGGGATATTACTGTATTTAAAATAATATATTTTTTTATTTTCATTAATTCTTTATTTCAAAATTTTCTGTTTTGGTTTTACAGAAATTGTAAAATCCGTTACCTCACTACAGTAATCGTGAGATGAAAAAAAAGTATGAGACCGTGATAAAATTAGTCAATAAGAAATAATAAGGCGTGACAAAATTGCTCAAGCCTCAAATGCTGGATCTTGTACATACTGGAGGCTTTGCATGAATCAGTCTAGCTAGGGTAGCTAGCTGCTGTGTAATACATTTTGCACTTTTCTTACAAGACAAAGGTGTTTATGATTTTTTGAATAAATATTCATTCACCATTATGACTTAATTTCTTAATCCAAGTCTTTAAATAAATATGGTGTAGGATACAATATGGCATTTACCTTTACTCAAAAAAGAAAGGGTGTGACTAATCTGGGTTATGTAGTGAAGGTAACCAGAGTGTCTCAGAATCTGCCTTTGAATGTCAAAAACCTTGAACAGTATTCACATTATTATCATTGCTTCATGGCTATTTTCCACTCTTGTGTGGGGGTTACCCTTGATTACCAGATGGCAACAATACAGGCTGCATGGTGTTTTGTTAGCCTCTCTCATCAAGGGCCTGTATCTCCGAGGTTATTTCTCACAACATCTTCCCATTTCATTCTTGGCCTACCCTTAGCTCTTCCCTCTACATTCAAACTCATGTATGTATTATCTTCACCCAATTGATTTCCTCCATCTCTCCACATGCTCACACCATCTCAGCCGAACTAAACGGGGAAAACCTCACCAATACTCTAAATAACCAGCTATTCTCTGAGCCCTAAATAGCATTTCCTATTTCTCAACATTACATTACATATCCATCTAAGAGTCATAAGAACTAACAATTACTCGAGGTCCTTTGAGGAGTATCTGTCAGGTATCCCTCGCTATACGAACGTTAGAGATACGAATATTCACTTATACGAAGTTCCTAAATTGACACCGCTACTTGGAAATATGAAAGCTTCCCCTGGCAAAAATAAAATTGCACGCCCCAGGAATCAGCTGGGGTGACCATCTTGGAGAGAGATGTGCATCTCCCACAAGCCTGTGTCTTTCCTTCCTACATTCGTTGTGTGTGAGAAGTGATCTCTCTTTATCTGTGTGTACTGTATTTGTGCTATCCTTTCATTATGTAATCCAAGCATTCTGGTAAATCTTTGGCTACCCATACTACACCAGCAAAGATAATGAAATCCAAACTAGTATAATTCTTCATGTTCCTAAAGATTATTACCTAAAGCAGATTTTAAACCACTGACCTTACAAGTGCAGACTTAATGAAGACCATCTGTAGATTGACACAGTCCATCATCATAATTATTACCATTTAATGGCCATTTTCCATACTTGCTGTGATTACCTAATGGCTTGTGCCAGTTGCCATCATGCAAGCTCTAAGACTGGATGCCCTTCTTATTGCCCACCTGCTTTTACAGAGTGGGAACTGGGTAGTATATGTAGGACTTCCAGGTGCACTTTTAGCTGGCAGGGCAGGGTCGCTACTCCCTGAAGTAATCAATGTTTGAAGCATTCATACTGCTGATTAAATAATCTGAGAAAGTTAATTTTTTGGTGAATTGTGAGTATACAAAGTTGCATTAAGTTTTGACTAAATTCAAACAACTTTTGTTAATCCGGCATTTATGAAAACTGGCCATCCAAATTCTCACAAAACTCCTCTGCTAAATGTTTTACAAATCTGACAGAGAAAGATTATAATAAATTACAAAGGAAGGGGATAATAGAAGTTAATACTAAAGAGAACGCATAAAAAATGGTGATTTACAGTAATTTTTAATGGGGTGATGCTTTACATACTTTGTGACCTACTGCATGTTTATCTGTTTAATATATCCTGTTCTAGGAGTTGGAGTCTTTGTAAGTTCACAACACCTAAGTGACAATGAACACAACAGCATCTTCCTAAATATGAATACTGTACATATGATTAGACAACTCTTGAACTTAATGATACTTTGTAGGGTAAAAAATGACTAAAACCCCTATACAGTGACCCCTCGTTTAACGAACACCTCGGTTAACGTAATTTCGATTAACGAACTGCCTTCCATAAGGATCTTCAATTCGGTTAACGAAAAAAAATTCGGTTAACGAAGTTCTTACGAACCGACCTCAACATTTTTTCGCTTGCATTGACCGGGCAACCAGCTTTAGTATCAGTCCGCCAATACATTAATCGGTTCTAGGGCTTAAATTCCTTACTATTTTAGTAAATATCAAGAAGTTTATACTATTCAATAATTTTAAAAGTTTAATATTCAATTTTTTAGTCATTTTAACAATTATTGAACATAATTGAAGGTAAAGTGACTAGTTTAATGCGCGGCATCCAGCCTCTTAACACAGCAAACAGGAGTTAGTCTCTCTGTTTTCACTGGAGGTAACATCTTGCTTGAGACTCTTCAACTAAACGCTTTTTTTTCTGTGTTTCCAAGCAAATTATTGGTCATTTTGAAATATATTTTACATATTGACAATATATAATGCAGTACAGTGTTGATTTAAAGAAAATAATCTTGAATTACACCAAGAGAGCTAAAATTTTATGGGTGAAATGGCGCCATGGGGCAACTTCTCTTCCACCTCAATGCCTTCTCTTCTTCCTTCTCCTCCACCCCCATTCTAAATCCCATCATCATCATCATCCAGGAGCCTTCTACATACACACCTCAAAGTAAGTGAACTTTTCTACCATTTTTGTTGAATTTAGGAAATTTTCGGCGAGCTGGAACCAATTACCCAAAAACCCATTGAAACAATGGTTTCGGTTAATGAACTTTTCGGTTAACGAACGACCTTCTGGAACGGATTGAGTTCGTTAACGGAGGGGTCACTGTATATGATACAGCCAATAATTTGATGTAAGAGGAAAAAATAATGCATGACTTCTAGGACCTCCACATAACAACATATGATGTAATTGGCCAAACATGTGGTGGGATGATAACAGTAGAGATGAAAAAAACCCTATACAGTACTATCTTATCTGTTGAAATTAATTTAATTTAATTTTCATCTGTGCTTTTGAGTATCTACATTTTATATAATATTCACCATTCTATCAATCACAGAATCCAGTTTTAAGTGTCTGCATATTTCCACAGCCACTGCGGGAGACTTCTACTAACCTAGTGGTACAGTCTCACCGAAAAGTTTGTTAACTATCCCAGCCGGCTATTATTGCTATCGCCTGCTTCAGATGTATGAACTTGAGTGGTACTTCGAACCTTTAGATTCGTTCATATAAGTTTCATGTTCTGGTTGGTAGTGAGACAGTTTCAAACATCTAAAACAGGCAGTGCAGCAATAGCTGGCTGGAAGAGTTAACGAACTACTGGGTGAGAATGTACAGTCGGAAACCATATTCTCGAGCCCACCTGGGTCGGTGCTGGAGGTTAGTACAGTGTCCTTTCTGGACGGGGGCCCACTCTAACTATCACGAGGCAACACACACACGAACACACACAGTCATAGTACGGCTGTATAGATGACATTATGTATAAATATTGTATATGGCATTTTATACTCTGCATTATCTTCATTATATATGAACACGAAGAAAAATTACCATAGGTTGTAGTTACGAAAGCATGAATGGAAATAAACACTTACAAACCACCCAGTGAATCTACACAACATTTACAGCGCTTGTGTGTGTGGGTGCCAGATCACAATACTTCCACCACACCCCATCTATATTTTTTATTTTCCCTTCATTCGCATAACTATATGAAAAATCGTGTTTAATGTAACTACATATTTCAAAAACCTTAAATTACAAGTGGATCAGTCACTCCTCATTTGACACAGTTATAGTGTAATACTTTGACCATCTCACCTGGGCACATGGAGGCCCACGGTAACTCTCACGGGGCAACATATGCACGAACAAACAAGTTATGATATGAACCCTTCCAGGCTTCACTATCATTATCATGTTATGTTCATCGTGCTCTGTATCTTGTTAACTAGTCACAGTATCAATACATGGAGGAAAATCTATATTAATATACTGTAATATTGCATTTTATTGCAAACCGTAAACAATCTCGTTTAACCATTGGACGTGAGGGAAAGCACCACACACTGGCGTTATGAAATGAAGAAACGAAGCACATAGGAATGACCGACCTGTGTGTAGGGAGTCCTGCCGTATCAGTGTGGACACGGTTGCTCAAAAGGTAAGTAGTATAATTCATCCTTGCATTTGTTGAGAAAAGTGTGTGTGTTTTTTTTTTTCCCCTCACCCTTGCAAACTAGTTAGCACACCATTCATTACGTAAAGGGGTGTTCCTGAGACATGAGAATCTAATATAAAACATAATGCCTCGTACTGAGAACATGTGACAGACGTAATGAGGGGAAGCAAGCATTAGCTGACGAATTATGGATTACCCACAAATGGCCCCATTAATAAAATTTTGTGGATATGTAACATGTGATAACACTATCTGAGACTGGACACATTATTAAAAATCATCATGTTGCCTATTCCACTGATAATGACTGTTAGATCAATAAGGCTGTAAAGTAACAGTTTGACAACAATGCGTCATGTTTCGCTGTCATCCTTCACCCGCAAAATGATGGTTACTCCATATCCTATAATATGTTGATTTTTCATTGATGAATGTATACAAAAGGCCCCATGCACTAATGCCTTATCCTTTTATTTTCACAGTTATGGAGGTTCAGCCACAACGTCATGTGAGGCTACCTCGGACGAGAGCTAATCGACCTGAGGTGATAACGAGTCGCGGCAGGATTATTGGATATCATGAGGCAGGGAAGGGGATACGGGAGATTAGTCGCCTTCTTGGAATCTCCAGGGATACAGTTAGGCCCCGACCAGGAAGACCAAGAGTCACCACACCAGTGGCAGATCAACAGATTCAAAGGGCAGCAAGGCGAGCACAAACTGACAACTGCCGTGCGTATGACGAGGGAAACAGGAGTTCAGTGTCACTCGATAAGTACCAGGAGGCAAATACGGGAGACTGGCTAACAATGTTTCATCCCAGCATGTAAGGAAACCTTAACAGAGGCACACAGAGAAGCACGTAAAAGGTTTGCTGAGGCGTATGCGGGAGTCAATTTTTGGAGGTCCGTCATTTTCACCGATGAAAAATGTTTCTCATCTGTCACAGCAGTCGGTCGCCAGTGTTGGCGATTACGTAATACAAGATATGCTCGAAGACACATCCATGAGACATCGACAAGCGGTCGTGTGACAACCTCCATGCATGGATGGATGTGGTGGGGAGGTGTTGGTGAACTGACGGACATTGCGGGACACATGAATGCAGACCAGTATATAAATATTCTAGAGACATCCTTTCTACCATCGGTGCGAGCATATGCCATCCCAGACCCACAGCCTATATGTACAGTATGGTGCAAGACCGCAGTCCAATACATACAAGTCGGGCAGTCAAGCATTGGTTTGAGGCGCACCCGCAGATTATTCTATTGGACTGGCCCCCTAAAGGAGCCGATTGTAATCCAATAGAAAATCTATGGGAGCATATGGTTGTTGAATGGGATGTTGAGGAGAAAACGAGGGAGGCAGTGAGGAAACACGCACATAATGTGTGGGAGGGAATAAGGAGGAGGCCGAACATCTGCAGCAATCTGGTAGATTCCATGCCCACCAGATTGCATGAAGTTATAGCAGCAGATGGAGGTTGGACACGGTATTAACCTATGGGCACGAGGTGTCTCAGTGGTTGTAGTCTTGCCTCGGGATCCTGTGGTTAAGAATTAAATCTCCGACCACGACGTTGCCTTGTAGGGGGTGGCGGGGGAGTTAGCTCTCTGGTGTAACCTCGTTGGGGCCACATAGACTTCGTTTCCTAACTCTCGGAAATTTGTCCAGGTATTTTACTATGTGATTTTACGTCACTTCACATGAATATGCTTACAAAATCTATGCATTAATATGCATAACTCTTGGGAATCTGTCCAGACATTAAATATATGTTATATACTACAATAATCACATAGATATGTTTACAATGTTTATGCATAATAAATGTGAAAAATATTTTTGGGGGTTTCAATTAACCAATAGTCATGCCTACAAAACAATGTTGATGCTCTAATAATAATAAAAGATATAGATGGGGTGTGGTGGAATCATCGTGATCTGGCACCCACACACACAAGCGCTGTAAACGTTGTGTGGATTCACTGGGTGGTTTGGAAGTGTTATTTCCATTCATACTTTCGTAACTACAACCTATGGTAATTTTTCTTCGTGTTCATATATAATGAAGATAATGCAGAGTATAAAATGCCATATACAATATTTATACATAATATCATCTATACAGCCGTACTATGAATGTGTGCGTTTGTGCGTGTGTTGCCTCGTGATAGTTAGAGTGGGCCCCCGTCCAGACAGGACACTGTACTAACCTCCAGCACCGACCCAGGTAGGCTAGAGATTATGGTTTCCGAGTGTACATGCGTGTGCCTTATCCACACACACGTACCAAATTGTCAGATGAGAAACACATACAAAAAAAGTGAACAAGATGAAACACTTGATAAATCTGATCCAGTGAACATTCCTGCCACACTGGGTTAATAGAAGTCTCCCACAGTGGCTGTGGAAACTTGCACATACTGTGGTCAAGAGAACTGTGAATATTACATATAAAGATCTTGAACGGTTTGGTCTAATTCAAACAAGTTAAAAATGTAGAAGGAATTTAGAACTTTGTGCTTTTGTTCAAATTTAACGGGTTTTTAATGTTTTAGAAAGTATGATTTCTGAGGGTGGTCTATGTATAACTCCCTGAGCACTCTGTCTAATGACTTACTGTTACCGCTCAAAGGAGAAATCCAGAGAAATTTGAAAATGATAATATACAGAAATGGCATGTACAGTATAGGAAGCATAATGGTTATTCTGGAGAACTTATTTATAACAAATGGAAAAGGTACGAATGAGTGATCATCTATCGTACACAAAATGGAAGAAACTGTTGTGTTGAATAACCTGATTGATTTGTACAACAGAGCATGACACATTTTGGAAAATTTATAATTATCCAAACTAATGCGTAAAAAGATGGGCAATATGGAAAAGCTCTAAACCATATTACAGTATAGACAAGGCAGTAACAAAGATGGTGTTTTGGGGACACATTTACGAATCCAGACTACCGGTACACTGACCATGAAGCTTCAAGTACATATACAGGCACTCCTCGACTTATGTATGAGTTGCATTCCTGAAACCATTATGGACCTCAAATTTTATGCAAGTTGGATTTATTTAGTCCAGTAACCTAAAGTGAGTAGCTTATCTATTGCACGTAATATATTGCATGCAGTACCTAGCATAAGGTAATGCAACCTTTGAGATATAAATAACGACAGTACAATACATTATCAGTCTATATGTAAATAAGTGAAATAACTTAAAGTACTGTACTGTGTTCAACAGATAACAGACGATTAACTGAACATTTACAGTACTAGCACTATACTTTAATTCTTAGTGTTGACTTCTACTGCTAGAGGCTGTGTAGTGCTGCCAGTGTTTTTTAGTACTTGTATTGTTAAAGGCTTCGTGGTGCTGTCAAGTGTTTTTTAGTACTGCTAGAGGTTAGGTGGTGCTGCCAGAGTGTTTTTACTATTGTTAGAGGTTGTGTGCTACCGCTTAACATGGGGCTAAGATTCGCTTGAACAAGGGTTGAGCCGGGCTAACACAGGAAAATTCTGCCTAATGTAGTCAGTTAGAAAACAATTTGCGTGGGCCAGGTGAGCCAGCTGGCGGGCAAGTCCAAGGGTAGCGTCCCCACACCATGTGGGCCCAATGAGTACAGTGTATTTTAGGAAAAGAGAAAATAATATCAGTAGAGATGGCATGTTGTTATAAAATAAGAAAAATTAAGAAGATGGGTGAATTGAACCTATGTGAGGACTTGGCATGTCGCCAAGTTAGGCGGTCCCTGTAGCTACATCTCCCCCACCAGGCCAAGCAGTGATATTGTTATTTTTCAACTCGCAACTTTGGGTAGATATACAGTTCATAATTTTCTTAAAATTTTTTTTTTTACTCTGTTACCATGCACAAACAATCATTCATATAAAATGTGAAGAAAAAATAAATAAAGTAAACCCCCAAAAGTCTGGAAAATTTCATGAGTGTTTCCTTTAACACTTTTCATTTATACTGTCGTACTTAGTAGTACAGTTCATTAAAAAATAATTTAATTTTTATAAAATATATTACCTTATTTATTATTAAAATATATACTGTACTGTATTGTTTTAATGGGGATACTGTACAGTGGTCTAATCAGATTTGATATAGGGCTAACAGGTATAAGATGACACTTCACGTATAAATGTAATGGAGGGGGGGGGGACTCTTTGGGGGTCCACCTGATGCATCCTCTGTCCCCATGTTATAATGGGTGGCATTTTCTGGGAATGCAATCTTCATGTTAAGTGAGGGGGCAGTGTATATGTAAAGTTGAATTTACATAAGTTAAGTGTTATGTAACCTAAGGAGTGCCTGTATAAAGAAGGAAGAGCATAGAGAATATTGTCCACATTAAGTTCTACACAGAGGAACAACAGAATGATTGCTCCCAGCCAAATAATTTTTTTTTTACCCCATATGGCTGGAAGACCACCACTTTTATCATGACATTACACTACAGTATTACCTCGCTTTACGAGGTTTCACTTTCCGCGATTTCTCATTTAAGCGGTGCCTCGCCAGAACCGAACTTTCACTTTCTGCGGTGCATCTACTCATATACGCGGGAAGCGGCGCGGGCAGGATGCGCACAAGGTCGCCCAGTCATCAAAATATTACCGAGTTCTTCACCCGCCACCCACCACAGCCGGCCTAAGTCAGTGATAGTGAGGATATGGACTTATATGGACTTTAAGGGGTTTGACAAAGAGGCCCTGCAAGCCTATGTGGTGGATAGTGATACAATTGATACAGGTGAGGGCCAGTAATCTGCCCTCTGCCTCAGAACCAACCCCCCATCCCTGTGTGCCCAGCCATCTTTTCTACTAATGTAAGTGTTAAAAAAACTAATATTATTGATATTTCTCTTAATTATTAATTGTGTGTGCATACCATCATAAAATTAAGATGTAATTTTTACTACAACGTAGGTATTGTGTCTGATAAAGTGGAGTTTGGGGGTCGGGCCAGTCTCTATTGGAATTAATCCCATATGTTCTGTTGTTCACTTTACGCGGTTTTCACTTTCCGCGGAACCCCATGGGTTCAATTGACCGCGTAAATCGGGGTACTACTGTACAGCAGTAAAAATATAAAGTACCAGCAGCAATGATTAGATAAATATTTAATATCAAGAATATATCTTATCTGAACTACCTATTACAAGAGCTTTAATTTGGTTTAATAAATAGAATACCTGTAGTTGCTTTTTTATAATTAATGAACAGAGGCTAATTAATCAATATGATTCAATAATTAACTGTTTTACCAGTACTATATATCTATTCCATACATGTGTAACTGACTTTTCGAGCTACTTTGATAACCACCATCTACTCTTCTGCCGTGTTTACATACTGTACTGAAGTAAACACAATAACCCAATTTCAAACAGTATTCACAAACCTCACTAGTGCTTAAAAGCTACTTCCATTGAGTCACCATGCAAAGTGACAGTTCGAAGAGCATCCTGATCATAAATCTCCAGCAGTGCTCTTGTTCCATCATTGAATGTGAAGGAGAGGCCACCATCTATCACTAAGGAAGCATCAAAGCACCGGGATTTCACACCTATTGACTTAGCAAACCCTCGAGGCTTGACACACTCATTGCGCATCGGAGATGTCACCAGCTGATCTCTGATAGTGTACACCATTTTGGGCACCTCTGACAAAACAGGAAAAATCAATAACTAAATTTCTTATTCAAAATATATACTGAAATTAATTAATATCAAAGAACAATAATAAAAAAAAAAATTCAGGTACAGTGTTATGGTTAAAACAAACATAGACAATATATCACTACGGATGCAAAATTCTTTAAAGGGAGTTGCCCTGACACTATCCTATACAGACAAGACCCCAAGTGCTTTGTGCTCATGATTTATATAATCACAACTTGTATTCTAGGCATAAAACTGATGATTCCATACATACTACTATAAAAAGGCAAAGGTGTTTCCCTGGCAACGGCCCTGGGTCCACCCTGTTTGACAGATAGAAAACTTGAAATACAATAATTTTGTACCTGGGTCAGTAATTAGCATCTGGTTGAATTTCTCTGTAATCTTGCGAACAAAGAGTTGGTCAGTATCTTGTATTTTAAAGCCTGTCTCCTCTTTAACAATAGTCAGGATCTCTTCCATGTTTTGCTCTGTCAGTTTGTTTACGTTATATGTCCAAGATGTTGACCCAGTCCCTGAGAATATTAATACTGTTAATGTAAGTACTGTAGTGTACTTTCTATTTTGTCACATCATTAGCATGACACAAAAAAAAACACTTTTACATATTCTATATATGTACTAGTACAGTCGACCCTTCACATACGCGGGTTTAGCATTCACGGATTCGCAAATACGCAGATTGCCCCGCCAGAGGAATATTCTGTACATTGAAGTAATTGAAATACATTCAAATCGCGCGCCATTCAATTGCGGCTTTCATTCTGAGACACGGCTCCACCCAACCTCACCGGGACACGCCAGCTCCCCAACCTCCCACACACTGGCTCTCCCTCACTCAGTCCGATCTAGCTGTAACCACACTTATGTTGACATCCAGCATTATGGTTGCAAAATATACATTTCGTGAATGTATATTCCTCCATCATACACCAATACTAATTAGAATATCACTAATACTCCAGAGTATTTTAACTGAAACTAAAAAGCGAGGCAACATCTCTTGAACATCGGAAGGTTAGGTAAAAGTCTCTTGTTTTTTTCGTCATGTATTTTATCTAATTTACATTGAAATACATCACGTTTCAGCAAAGTACTATTTATTTCTAAGAATATGGAAATGCTAATATTTGCTGAAATAGCGTGATAAATATTACAGTGGAAAGTGGCAACAATGACTACTTTCTTCGCTCAAAAGATATTACGTGTCCTTTTCGAATGGTTTTCAGTTAAAACTGTTATATTACAATAATATTCTATCTAATTCGCTTGTGATGCAACAGTTTTTAACTGAAAAGCCATTGAAAAGCGATTTACGGTAACATCTTTTGGAGCGAAAAGCGAAAGTCATTGTTTAAATCGCGATTTTGTCTACATTCCACTGTAATACT